TATATTAAAAAATTAATTTTTGATAAAAAAAATTTACAACATGCATGTTTACTTTTTGTGCTTTCTATTTATTATATATGTTGACCAAAAAAGTTAAAATAGGAAAGATCAGAAATTTTATGTTCTATTTAAAATTTTTATTATTAAATATGTTTTAAAATAAATTATCACCTAAAAATTTATATCACATATGAAAAACATGTTTACATCATAAATAAATTAAACTTGATTCTTATAAAATTTAACATAATTATTTTATGTTTTTATTAAATTATTATAAAGTAGGTCTTTAAGATTGTAGTTCTAACTAAACATTTAAAAAATGTTACGACAGATAAATATGTCATATTTAAGACATGTATTTTTAAATAAAGTTATGTTCAAACTTATTAAATTATATTATAACATAGTCTGACCTAATTTATTTTTTGTAAAAAAATAATTATAATATATTTATATTTTTAAAAGTTATATGTAAAATTTTTAATACTATAAATATATAAATAAACATTTTTCTCACTATCTAAAATTTCTGGATCCGTCACTGTGTCCAACATATAAAAGATTTAATATCTCTATTTTAATATAAATAACCTTAAAAATAAAAATAAAAAAAATGATTTATGATGAATTCAACGTTATAGTAATTGTACAGCTGGATGTGTGTATAAAACACGTGAAGTACGTGCATGGTCTCACTTCAAATTGTATTTTCGCTTTTATTTTATTTCTTTTCAAAGCCCTGACAGCATTATATTTTGCTTCACCACACGTCAGTCGTACAAAACGGCAGCATTTACATCAATGCATATTGAGGAAATTGTGGATCTAGCTACAATCACGTTGAAAGATGCTTTAGAAAACGGAATCATCCACATTAATAATTAATGTAGCTACATGATATAATTTACAAGGTTTTACTGTATAAATATTTACAAGCTTGATTTTACTATAATTTTGGATGAGAATTTATTATAGATTTGATCCTAATCTTGAAATTTATGAAATTTAATTTTAGTTACAAATAAATTGAAATGCAATCATTTAATTATATTTAAAAACATTTATCACAAAAGTAAGCTTAGAGTTATAATAAATAATTCATTTCAATTTTAAGCTAATGTAAAAGTTATTTTTTTATAATCATTTTTTGGGTCTTGATCAAATATTTCTCACAAAGACATGTTTATATTTTACATGCTCAATCAAATCTTGGATGTATTTATTAGAGACATATAAAAGAATATTCGTAAATAGTTATTTGTAGATGATACATTTTTTTATTAAGAAATTAAGGAAAAGGATAATTCTAAACTTGAGCTATTTAGAGAAAGTTTTGGAATTAAAGACTTTTTGCTTAAGCAAAAGTTAGAAATAAGCATTATAATTTTAGCAGAAACAAAGAGGAAAATGCTTTGAAGTTACAAATGGGAGATGTCATGCCACGACGCATAATTATAAGTTTGAGTATATGAGATCACTAGTACAAAATGATGGAAAAATTAGTGAATATTAAATACATAAGATACAAGTTATGTAGTTAAAAACGAGAAAGACATTGAGGGTAATTTGTGGCTTCAATATATGAATCAAACTCAAAGTAACGAGTTGTCGGGCTATTATATGACGTTACACTTTATGATAGTGACTACTGGAAAATTAGTATATTACGTTACTTCTTTAATGTCGGACACACTAAAATCCGACGTAAAAAAGACCCGGTGATATTTTTGTAATTTTTGCTAACTTTTTTACGTCAAACCTGGTAGGGTCCGATGTAAAATGTCAAATCTACGTCGGATGTATATTGTGTCCGATGTAGATTTGACATTTTACGTCGGACCCTACCATGTCCGACGTAATAAAAGGACGCGAAATTGAAAAAGAGAGTGCGAGGCACACCGCGCGCATTCACTCTTCATCACTTTTCGTTTTTTTCTCTGTAAACCCTCTCCCTCTCCTTTGTTACTGAATCGTTTTTTTGTTTTTTGCAGAGTGGTCTGAACTCTTTGTTACTCATCCACACACTGTTGCAGCTCATCAGGTATGAATCAAGATTTCGTTAACACCTTTTTGCTTCGCATAGCTATTGTGGTTATCTGTTCTATTCGGTTTTTTGGTTGTTCTATTTGTATAGGTCGTTGGCCTTTTCTTTTGGGTTGTTCTACGAAGCAGAACAGGCCATTTTGCTTGCATTTGTTATGTTTTTTTATTTTATTTTTATTTTTTTACTACTTTTTTACGTCGGACCTTGGTAATGTCCGACGTAAATTTACGTCAGTTTTACAGGGTCGACGTAGATTTATATCTCCCGCATTAACGTTGGTATTTTTTTTGACGTAAAAAGCTCAAAATAATCAACGTGGAATACCTCTTTTGTACTAGTGAGTGATGGGTAGAAAAATATAAGAAAAAAGTGAAAGTATAAAAAATAGAATATTATGAAATGCGTGGTCACAAAAGCAAATATATTTAACACCCTTGATAATTTTTTATATATTATATTATACTATGTGTGTGAGCAAATGTTTTTTATAAACTAAATTAAATAGATAATATTATAAGAAATATATGGATATGAGTATTATTAAGGAATTTTTTTAAAATAATTAAATGAATGAAGAATGAGTATGTGTTATACCTTCTACTTTTCATGTATTTATTAAATATATACATGTTGTGAAAATACATAAAAAGGAAGTACAATTCATAAAACCTAATGGAAGAAGCTTCGTAATCTTCATCATCTTCTCGAGATCTTTCATCCAGGGAATCACAAAGCTTGAAGAACTAAAAAATGGAGGAGATGAGAGATGATGAGGCACCACTCTCAAGGAGATAAGAGATGAAGGAAGAAGTTCCTTGATGAGAGTTTATATGGAGTCATACTCTAAGGAGAGGAACTCAAGATCTCAAAAGAGAAAAATCAATTTTCATGCATAAATTCTTCAAAGTGATGTACCAATAGAGGGGAAAAAAACTTGTATAGAGTTGGTTAGCTTGTGGTGCACCATAACCAAACCATGGTTAAGAAGATTATGGATGTCCAAACTTTAGTCCCCACATTCCCACAATTAAGTCTAGATATATTAGACATGAGAAAGATGTGACTAGGCTTGAAAGAACTCCTCCAGTAGAATACTTCAAAACTCGAAGAAAATCCATTGTCTGCTAACCCTTCGATTTCGCTGCAGGAAACACCACGTCGTCACCAACAACTACACAAATGTAGAGTTTAAAAACCATTAAAACAGCAACACAAGCTGAAGAAACCACACGCAATCACTCTCACCTCAAGATCAATAGACGATCCAATCCAACTAGCTATAAAGCATGTATCACAAAAAAGCACACCAAACGAAGCAAGCATTACTGCATAAGCCACAACTAAACCTAACACGACATTCGAGCGGAAGCTTCAAAGTGTGGTTGCGGCCTGCAAAACTATACAAGCTAGAGCATCTCTCAAAAGTGGAAGTTGTAACAAATGATCCCAGTGGATGTACATTTACTCTGGTAATTTTCCATTATGGAAGAGATCTCTATGTTTTGGTTCTAGATATGTTGTTCTTAGTGCATGTTTGTTTTATTCGATTCCCGAATTTCAAAACACGTTGAACAAAACTTCTCTCTCACAATGCTTTGGCGTTGAATGGAACGTGACAATAATACAAACACACCCTTAGTTTCTAGCACATTAGCAATATGAAAAGCAACCAACCATTCCTTGCTTTGGAGTTTTTTGTTTTTGTTTTTGTTTTTTTTTGTCTTCTCAGTCATTTGCTTGTTAGGCTGATGCATGTGTATCTTCCAGGGATTTGTTAACCTTAGAAGCCAGAGTGTGGCTCCTCCTCAATGGACAATGTGCAATATTGATGGCAGAGACAAAATTGAAAGTCAATCAAAAGCAAGGAATGGTTGGTTGCTTTTCATATTGCTAATGTGCTAGAAACTAAGGGTGTGTTTGTATTATTGTCACGTTCCATTCAACGCCAAAGCATTGTGAGAGAGAAGTTTTGTTCAACGTGTTTTGAAATTCGGGAATCGAATAAAACAAACATGCACTAAGAACAACATATCTAGAACCAAAACATAGAGATCTCTTCCATAATGGAACTTTACCAGAGTAAATGTACATCCACTGGGATCATTTGTTACAACTTCCACTTTTGAGAGATGCTCTAGCTTGTATAGTTTTGCAGGCCGCAAGCACAAAAGTTTAACAAAGTTGGAAACACTAAACAGGAGGGAGAAGAAATTCCATTAAAAAAAAACACGTGGCAATAAACAAAAGCTAAAGAGGAATCTTTAACTACTCAGTGCATTTAATTTGTAAGGGGAGTGGGGGATCATGAGCTGAAACCCAAACCCAAACCCAAACATATCCCGAATAAATGAAAAAAAGACAAATTACTTCAAGAACTCCTCCAGTAGAATACTTCAAAACTCGAAGAAAATCCATTGTCTGCTGATCCTTCGATTTCGTTGCAGGAAACACCACTTCGTCACCAACAACTACATAAATGTAGAGTTTAAAAACCATTAAAACAGCAACACAAGCTGAAGAAACCACACGCAATCACTCTCACCTCAAGATCAATAGACGATCCAATCCAACTAGCTATAAAGCATGTATCACAAAAAAGCACACCAAACGAAGCAAGCATTACTGCATAAGCCACAACTAAACCTAACACGACATTCGAGCGGAAGCTTCAAAGTGTTGTAACAAAAAAAACAATGTTCACATCAGAGTAGTTAATTCAATTTCATCCAAAATACCTGTAGAGGCATCCAAACGCTAAATTATCGCGATTGTTGGACGTTGGCCTTCGAATTCGTCCAAACTTAAATGCGTGGCTTCCTCGATCTGAAATCGTCGAATCTGCCTCTCTTTACTGATGATATATCCAAGCTGGTGTTATTCAATTATTGCAGGCTATAAGAGAAAAAGCACAAGCTATCCAGCAACATAATGATGCCCCTCACCCATTATCTCGTGGGGGTTATGATCTCTTAGTGACAAATTATTCTAAAAATGAACTAAAGAGACTAAAGGATGAAGCAATACAGTCTGGTGCTAGTCAGGATGTAGTTATTGATCCTCCACCTCCTCCTCCACGTCATAAGTTATGGGTCATGGGTCGCACAAAAAGTTCAGGCGAAATGAGTTCTGAGTCAGCTAACCAAATTGCTAAAAAAATTGTAAGTCTTTTTATAAAATAAAACTATTTAACTATTTTCTCAAATTTTTTATTCTACGATATATTGTAAACTAAATTTGTTTATTGTAGAATGATTTGGATGAGCAAGCATCACAGGGTTCCTTTGTTCCCGATGGGCGTCAAGATATATTGAATACTGCCCTTGGACGACCAGAGCATCCTGGTCGTGTTCGTGCAGCTGGTGTTGGTACTACTATTAGTCAGTACTTTGGACGACGCCAGTCACATGGATTATCCATAGCTAAATTAACTCCCAAGGATTTGGAACTCCTCACACAGCAAGTTGTTGCACAACTCAAGAAAAATGATGTCAGTAATACACAGACACAGGATGTTCCTCCAGTTCAAGTAGATATGGTCCCTGGTAGTAGTAAAGGTAGTTGTCCAACTCCTTCAAGTGCTACTGCTGCGGCTGGTAATGCATTAGGGGATAAGCCTCATGTTGATATCTCTCATCCATGTGACTTATGCATTGATGATATACCACCTCGTGTAGTGGCCATTGGTAGAGTTTATGAGGGTAGTTCAACCATACACAATGTACCTTTAACAGCTGATTTGGTCAAGGTGGTTGTTGAGTTTGTTCGAGATTTTGATGCTCATGTTCCTATGCCTACTTCAGAGGTTCAACTGGTTAGACAGGCCCTACAGACTTTCATTTCATGGCCAAGACGTCTTGTGAGACTTATTTCATCATCTAAGAAGACACAGGATATTCCAACAGTTCATAGGTCCAAACCCAGTAATGATCCTATATGTGATTTGCGTGAGGCATCATTGACTTTAACTTATGGCAACCCATTTAAGGTGACTTTGTCCGACTTATATAAAGACTATTTAATTTTTTTTGTTTTAGGTTGGTTACTTATCCAACTTGACCATTTCAAGTGATATGTCCTGCAAGTCTATTTGGTGTTGGTGTTAATGATTTTGTGTTCTATATTACATTTGATGATATACGTGAATTAATAGAACGAAAAAGGCTTAACATCTCAATCATACAATTTTGGATGTTGTAAGTACACAATTCTTATTAGTATCAATATTTATTTAATTAATTATGATTCATTCTAAATTACTTTTCTTTTATAAATTTTAGTTATCTAAATCAAAAAATTGAAGAGCACGGCTATGATGACTTGTATGGATTTTTGGAGCCCCAATCAATACAAAAATCGGGGAATAAGAAAGAAGAGACTATAAATTATATAAATGATAGGATAAAGAACTCCCAGAAGCAAATTTACTTGGCTCCTTACATTGATCAGTAAGTACATGTTTCTTATTGCATTTAATTTATGTAATTTATATATATATTGTTTAACTAATTTTGGCTCAATGTAGAAATCATTGGCAGCTGTTGGTTCTTTGTCCTATGAGTAATGTTGCTGTATGGTTTTGTTCTTTGCATCATAAGCCCACTATACATGTCAAACATTTAGTTAAAAGGTAAACTTTAATTTGTAATACGTTTTTTACTTTTATGCTCTTTATTATAAAATTTTAATTATGTAACTTACGTTCATTTTATTTTCTTTAGTGTTATGGCTGTGTATAATGTCATGAGTGGTATATCTACTGCACTGTCAAAGAACTTAGAATGGATTTACCCCATGGTAAGTAAGTGGTTCGTAATTAAAGTCAATGTGCCTAACAAATTCTTTTATTACCTTAATTAAACAAAACTATTTATACTACTTTATTTGGTGTTCGTTTTAGAGTTATAAACAACAAGGACATTATGAATGTGGATACTATGTCATGAATTGGATGTCAGAAATAATTGAAGGGGGAGTAACAAATGGTTGGAGTGAGGTACATTTAAAAATATTGTTAATTTCTTTTAATGCTTTTTATGATGTAACTAATATATGATGTATATATGTTGCAGCTTTTTGAAGATGCTACACCATTGGGGGAAACCATATTGGAAGACATTCGGATTCATTGGGGAAATTTATTTTTAGAAAAATTTAGAAATAGATCATGTTGAAAGGTCTAGTATTACATGTAAAATTTAGAAATAGGTGAATGTGATTTCAGTATTAGGCTGCCCAATGCATGTCTAATGTAGTGTGACCTAATTTTTTTGTTATTCTCTTCTCCTTGTAAGAGATATATATTATATAATGATGTAATTGAGCCATTTCTATAATGATAATGATCCCAAATTAGTCTCTGTTGGTTTCTCTTGCATTGGATAATTGAATCAATTTTTGCAGGTTATATATAATTGAATCAGTTTTATTTTAGAAATTAATCAGGTTAAAAAAAATACAATCTACAGCGGTTCTAAGCAACAACTGACTTAGATGTATATATGCACATCTAAGTCGGTTTTGAATAAAAAACGTCTTAGATGTGTATATATACATCTAAGTCAGTTTTTATAAAAACCGACTTAGATGTATGTGCACATCTAAGACAGTTTTGTAAAAACTGACTTAAATGTATAAGTACATCTAAGTCGGTTTTTACGTAACCAACTTAGATATGATCATTCATCTACGACGGCCTTATCTAAGTCGGTTTTAAAACCGATGTAAATATGGCAAAATAACCGACTTAGAATACAATCCTTCTAGTAGTGAAAATGTGACTAGGGGTATAGGGAGTAAGAAAAGGGGATGAACTCAGGTTCTCTAGTTATTAATTATTAATAGATTGGTTATCAATGATCCTAAAGTTCAATAGGAGCTTAGGTCTTCCTCTTTCACTATGATTCCACCACCCTTTACCTCTTTAAGATGATTTGTCCTCAAATTTTGAAGCCTCTTCCTCAACAACTATAAAAAGAAGTAGATTACAAACATTAAAGGTGTTGTTTATTCCATAATAATCAGGGAGGTCTTGCTTATTATTGTTTATCCTCCCTTGGACTTGAAAAGGATCATCTCCTTTAAGATTGAATATAGACTTCATCTTACAAGGAGATATATCATTCCTAAGGTGAATCCAAACCATGTCAAGCAATTAGAACCAACTACAAAACCTAAAAGATAACACTATCTACACCAAAACTACATTTTTTCTAGGTTTTCAAAAATGATTATTTTTTTTGCTAAGAGCTAAGAAAACTTTCCTTAAATGTTTTATGTGATCACTTAGACTCCTATTATAAACTAAAATCATCAAAATAAACTACAACAAATTTTCCTATCCAATTGCCAATTACATGATTCATTAGACACATGAAAGTACTTGATGCATTAATAAGCCCAAAGGCATTACTAATCACTCATATAATCCAAATTTGGTCTTAAAAGCAGCTTTTCATTGATTCCCTTCTTTAATTTTTATTTGATTATAACCACTCTTAAGATAAGTTTTAGAAAATATTTGTGTTCCATGAAGTTCATTTAAAATATAATCTAGCCTATGGATTGGGTGTCTATATTTCATAGTAATGTTGTTGATGGTTCTACAATCTACACACATTCTCCACTTGCTATCATTCTTAGGCGCACTAACAAAACAAGAACAACACAAAGATTGAGACTTTTTGAATCCAGTCCTTCTTCAACAAATCTTGAACTTGAGATTTTATTTATTTTGATTCTTTGGACTTGGTCCTATAAGTTGGACTATTAGGTAGGCTAACTCTAGGAACAAGGTGAATTTGATGCTCTATTCCTCTAAGAAGTGGCAACCCATTGGGTACCTCTTTGGGGAATATATCAGCAAATTCTTTTAAAAGATTTTGAACCCTTTTTGGTAGAATCACAATTCACAACCTCAATTTTTGTAGTAGTTCAATTAAGTGTCCCTTTGCACAAAAGAAAATATAGAAGTTGTTCAAGATAGAGAGTTCTCTTGATTTCACTTTTGTTAATAAAGTAAATCTTTTTAGGTTAAATACCTCTTTTGGTCCCTTACAATATTTTTTTTGTTTCAATTTAGTCCCACTTTATTTTTAGGTCTCAATTTGGTCCCCAATAATTTAAATTGTTCCAATTTGGGACTTCCGTCTAAATGATTTAAACGGAGTTAACTGGTGGCCACGTGGATGCCAGGTGGATGCCACGTAGATGCAACGTAGGTGGATCCAAAAATACTTGAATACACCTGGAACCAGAACGGCCCGTTCTGGTTACACTATTGGTGTGTAAAATTTGCACTTGGAACGGGCCGTTCCAGGTCCAAAATTAACACACCACCAGTGTAACCAGAACGGGCCGTTCTGCTTTCAGAACGGGCCGTTCTGATCCAGAATTTCGTGCACAAAAAAGCCAAAATACAAAGCATTTCAAACACTAGATTTGGTAATATTGTTAATGAGGATTAATAACTTCAATTGCTAAACATTTGGGCTATACAGTATATCATTAAGGATGATGCAGTGTATCACTAAGGACAATGGTAACAAGTTTTATTTCATTGTTAGTCAAACTGGAGTGAACCACTTACTACCAAATTGACACTATACAGTCAAGGATAAAACGAAACAGTATTTTTCCTTGAAGTCATTGACGATGTACCCCAACAATAACAACCTGTTCTTGAGGAGGTACCCCTAAACCCTGAATTTTATTTTCAATTTTTGAAATACATTGCGGCATTTTAGTCAAGATTTTGAACTGGATAAATTCAAATCAAAGAAATATTTTGGAAGGTCTTATCTTATTTGATTTTTTTTTAGTTTTATTCATAAATGAATATTAATTTATTGTATTTTTTATTTATTATATATTTATTAATATAGATATAACAAAAAAAATATAATAAAAAGCATGGCGTTCTGGAACGGGCCGTTCTGAATTCAAAACGGCCCGTTCTAAAAGCAGAACGGCTCGTTCTAAAAGTAGCACGGCCCATTCTAAAAGAAGAACGGCCCATTCTGGTGTCAGGTTTTTTTTTCCAGAATTTTGGCGTCCATGTGCGCATCCACGTGGCATCCACGTAGATGCCACGTGACTAACAGTTAACTCCGTCTAAATCATTTGGACGGAAGTCCCAAATTGCACTAATTAAGTTATTGGGAACCAAATTGAGACCAAAAATTAAAGTGAGACTAAATTGAAACAAAAAAACATTGTAAGGGACCAAAAAAGGTATTTAACCATCTTTTTATGAACAATTTCTTTGGAGGAATACTTTACTTCTCACCATTCCAATCAATTTAATGATTATTTTAACAACCCTAAATATACAATTAAGCTTAAAATAATTATTACATTAATTTATAGACATATGCTTCTTGCAAGAACAACAAATAACCATATTTTGAAGAAATAGGAAGTATCTTGATGGCAAAGGAAGGAGCCTCTGTTTTGCCTCCACTAATGATGGGGTTATGCAATCTGTGATTAAGGGGAAGTTAATCAGGCTGGATGGACCTACATTGAAAGCGGCTGCTGGGCTGAGCGGAACCGGAAAGGAGAAACCCCAACCATTCAATTTCGGGGATTTTGAAGAACTGACAACGTTCTGGGACTGTCAAAGGGTTCCATCTAACACCAACTACGAGAAATTTTTGGCGGGAGGTATGAAGAAAAACTCTCGTTTAATTTCTTTCATTATTGCCTGGATGTTAAAACCAAGGTTGCACAACCATGCACAAATGTCTCGGGATGACATTTT